ACTATCGTACGCTATGATGTACATTAAATATTTATACGCAGAAACTAATAAACCATTCTATGGAGGTTTATAAAAATATAATGGAAGTATTCACACACACACACACTTAAAATAAATCGTATACATGTGTGTACATATACATGTGTGTACATAAACATTCTTACATACACAAAAACTTGCACCGTCACGAGTAGTTGTTTAATGAAAAACTCAGACATTTTCTCAACCTTCCACATTGCTCAAACTGGTGTCTAATTTCTGATTGCATATCTATGCATGGTCCACATGGTCCACACATGGTCCACACATGGTCCACACATGGTCCACACATGGTCCAGGCCGATTTGTCCATGGGTGAGATTACAGAATAAAATGAATAAACAAAAATATCACTGAATAACGAAATTGTATTACATTATAACCTTATAACCACAATTTTTTGCACACAAAACTTTGACAAAGATGGAATTTCAAGCATAACTCAATGTAGAAACAATTTTAAAAGCACTTGCTGCATGTCAGAGTTGCTCAGACATAAAAAACAAACTGAAGACAAAAAATGCTGAAACACGGAATGACTGTTTTGAATTATTGCGAAAGAATTTCTATTACATGATGTGATAAATTATGTTAAGGTAAAAAATTATAGTTCATAAATATTTCTTCTGTAAATTTTAAATTTAAGTTCATCAATTAAACCAAATTATTTTTAGTTGAATATCTCCTATGATAATGCTTAGGTGAATGAAATAAAAATAAGGAAATGTGAATACTTCAATTAATAACGTAACTTGGTTTACATGTGCGAATCATTAACAAATGTGTAATTTGCTTCTTCCATAAATTTATTCATTTGCATATTTTCTCTTCTAAATAAATTTAATAGAACGCAATTCATGGAAACCTAAAATTATGTAACGAACATTAATGACAGCAGACAATGCATGGAGACATCAATTTCATCATAATTCATTAATATGCAGGAAGCACAACATAAATCTTGCGGATTAGGTAAACATTGTTCTGTATTAATAATACGCCTCAATTCAATGGGCAATTAATCATGAGGCAGACAAAAGAGGCTAACGAACAAAACAGCTCATCATTTATTAATTTAAAAAGGCCAGCCCGCCTGGTGTGGTCGGTTCCTGATGACTTGTGGAACGTAATCATATTACGACTATGAGTCTATCAGGTGATAACGGTGTTGAGAGCACATGAAAAAATAATATACATACATAGATATATACATATATATGTTATTATATAGTATATTTATATATGTTATATATATATATATGTATATATATGTGTGTGTCTGTGTCTGTGTATATTTGATAGCAATGATGGTGAGGCCATGTAGGTCGTTGTTGATGCGGCGAAGATTGCAACATTTCATTGAAAGTAGATATTTCAATGAAACTGTAGTTAATGATGAAAATTATATAACGGAACACGTACGTCAGTGGCGCGACATGCACGTAGATGACGTCATCATGCATGCTGATTGTATGAATGGCGAGAGTACGAATTTAGAAGATAAATGTCATTGATAGTATTAATGATACATAAAGACATTATTAATTATACCATAATGAACAAAGACCGTAAAAATGACAACAATCCTAGCGAGATTTATTAGTAGGCCTACATAGGTAATCGAATATATATATATGAATGTATGTCTGTGTATGCAGATGAATAGAGCGCCTCAGTCGTTTGTTTTGGTTTTTTATAAATGAAATTATTATTAATATTGTGTATCTTATTAATTGAAAGGAATTATATAGCGCTAAATAAATCATTTCAAAGATGCTATAAAGATTAAAAATTAGCATAAATTACTGTGTGTGATTAAGACAAGATACAATATACGAATGATAACAAATTTCCAGTAATATTACGGGAAATAAAATGTTTTAAATTCTTTTTTAAATGTTACAAAAGAATGTGCAGCACTTCTCCACGGAGGCGAACCAAAAACGACACTGTCTCTCCAGCCAAACTGCATTCAACTAATGTTGTATTTGCGTCTATGCAAATACTTAGGATATTGTATATAAAATCAACTATTGGATATATATACATATATATATATTTATTTATTTTTATATATACATGTATATGCTAGCAGTTTCTATAAAGTTACTCTAAAATGTTGTGAAGTTTATTTATGAAACGAATGTCAAGTTAAATTCAATAATTTCAAACTTAAAAATTATGATAAGAAAAAAATGAGATTATTTAATTCAATTTCAAAAATTAATATTGTTTTTTAACCGTAAATCTTGAACGAATGTTTAGCGTTTAATTTTAATTAATTCATTTATTTTTACATTTGTTAACGCTGGCGTTTGGATCTGCGTAGGAGTGCCTGTGTTCGAATGCCGAGAAATCCTTGCCTTTTAAACGCAATGTCGTTAAAACGTCGAATTAATGTAGTACGAAAAATAATTAATTATTACCTCAAAAGAAGTACTGGTGTTTCAATTTTATCGAGAAGTGAGTTGTCTAATTCAACAGATTTAAATCTTAATAGTTAACACGAGTTAGTTTCAGGTTTTGCAGATGTCTTTAATTTACTATCTTTAAAATTGTAGAAAAATGCAACACGCTGAAAATTGTTTACTTCAACTAAAACAAAATTATTTCAAAACAATTTTGTTGAGGAGAAATATTTTATATTGCGGAAAAACTTCGTTGCTTTACAAATTTTTGTGTGTTTGGTATTTTTCATTCAGATTTATGTTTGCAGGCATGTAAAAAGGCAAGCGACATAAATATTTCTTCCCCGGACATGGACCATTTCAAAAACTTGTTAGAGTTATTGATTCTCTCATTCTCTTTCTCTATTTTGAATAGGAAACTGATTTTGAAATGATAATTTTCTGCATCAATCACTTCTGAAATAATATTCATAAAAGTTTTGTAATACAATCAGTACACTGGATTCAAGATTAGCCATTTCGGACTGCAATTTTTTAATAATAAGAAACTTTATTTTTCAAATTGTAAGAAGATTAATAAAAAAAACTGGTTTTGAAATTATAGTCACGCCAGATTGCGATTGAATGAGCATGCAACTGCCTAGATGATGATAACGTTTTTGCTGGATGATTTCACTATGTTTTTTTTTTGAAAAACGGAAACTTTTTTTAAATCAAATTTTGTATTTTTTGATTTATCAAAAAAAATTTCATACATATTTAATAAAACTTTGAGAGTTAATACAAAATTATCTAAAACGTTGGAGTCTCTTCATCCTATATATCTGAAGTAACCACCAAATTATGCAGCATAATTTAGAATTCAATAAATATGCAATAGCATAAGAAATCAATTTTAACATCTAATAAATCAATACCGAATCTAATTTTAGTGAAGTCAAATGTAAAATCAATGTGGATAGATTATCATGTTGATCTAATAAATAATTAATGAACCACAGAGTAAAAAACTTGGCCACTGAAGGATCCACTTTTTATTGAAATCAAAAATCAATAAACTTCAAAGTAGCTTAAATATAAATAAAAATTTCACATTATTTAACCATAAACAATGTTAGCAAACGAACGGTTAAAAATGACAGATTAATAGTTAGTGCAAAAGGTTCCAGTAATTTTTCCATTTGTTTTCTGAAAGATAAGATTTCATATATGCATAACCCTCGTACTCATAAGAAATGCAGTGCTGTAGAAAATTTTCTGCAATCAGTTACAGACAAAAGTTACAAGGATGAAGTTTATAATGGAAATGTCAACTAAAAATTTCTTACATAAATTGTTACAAATGTTGATCGTACAAATATCACAATATAAAATTTTTGAGAAAAATTAATTGATATGAAAATTAGTCTTATAAAGTCATTAAGATTGAAAATTGGATAGAAAAAATTATACAAAATCAACTTTATGTGTATTTATTTATGCTTTTTAATAATATTGTACATTCAAATTTTCATTCATCAATCAGTTGTATATATTTATTTGTACTTCTATTCTTTCTACTACAATCTTTTTGTCAAATTTTGATTGTTAGATTTGATGCTGGTAGTTCTGATGGAGTGAATGTTGGCGTGTTGTTTGTTTATACTCTGTCTACACTGGTCTCCACATTCTTTAACATGCATCTATTTACCTACATGACTTGTCTTCTGAGGTGCAAGCTGGTCTTCCATGATTTCAATTTAGAATCTAACTTGATGTCAGAAGCGTGAATTACACAAAATATTCGTTAACTTTTTTTTCATTGCCGATAAATCGACAAATTTTCAAATAAATCCGTTAAAAAGATTAATTAGTTTGAGTCAATCAGTAAATTTTAAAATTTTATAAATTTTCAAAAGACCAAACTATTGGTTTTCAAAACAGAAGATCAACTCACAAACATATTCATAGTCTGTCGTGTAAGTGTTGTAGAAATATTGAAATATCTTGTCCGTATGATCGCTGATTATTTTAATCTCGACATCAAAAAATCCCAAATGAAATGTAAACTGACCGTGGAGTATCTACAGCAATCAAAAAAATTCTGCAACGATAACTTTAATCTCGTGCAAGGAGGAAGAACAGTTGAGTGTTGTTATACATACCTCAGATACCTCTTCTCTGTAGAGTTGAAACATGAACATAGCATGCCATTACTTCAAATATAAAAAAATTTGAAATGCAGATTTTTGTTGAAAGTTCAATTTACCATAGACAAACGCGGTCAGTTACTTTGAAAATTCAAAATGTTAAAATACTCCCGAACTACTAACTGGCTTTTGTTTTTGAGAAGTACAAATTATTTGAATGGTATAAATATAAATGGTGTAATTTGTAACTGCAATATAATGAACATTTCATAGAAACAAAAACTAGTACTAAATTACTTTTACTAATTTATTATAAAAAATAAAAACTCTTTTTAAAATTAATTTTTAACCGCTTTTTGCATTAGATACGGATTCATATAGCAGCGGTAAACAAATCATTATTTATGACCGCTCATACCACACCATGGTAGGTCGTGCATATGTCAATGCGTGAGTTGCAAGTTCACGCACGCTGTAATGCTAAGCAGATGCATTTCAAACTCAACCGCATGCGTGTACGCGTGCATGTGTGTGTGTGTGTGTGTTCGTTCGTTGGTTTGATCGTTTGTTTGTCCGTTCGTTTGTTTGTTGGTTTGTCTGTCTGTCTGTTTGAATAGGCAAAATTATTATTTCTGTTGACATACGTATCGGTTGTTTTTTTAAATAACTAATTAAGTTGAAGTGATCAGTTTGAGCGTATCAATCACGAAGCTTGCTGAACAATTTTGTCACTTTAAAAAATGTTAATAAATAAGAAAATCATTAAAAAAAATATTTGAAATAAAAAAAAATATTTGAAATCGATGATCTCGAAACAGAAAATTCTGAAAAAAACAACGCCACAAAATTTATTTAAAAAATACGCGAGCGCGGCAGACAGGACGAATCAGGAGGTAATGTTAATAAATGCACTCTATGCTAATTTGACAGACTTCTCACGATTGGTTGACATGGTAATATCGATTGAGTGCAACGAAGTACAAGTCGGTAAACAAGAACCGCTGACTCAATTATGCCTGCTTCTACATTTTTATTAATTTCAATGAAAACTTTAAAAACAATTCAACTTACAAAAAACGTTTCAGTTTCACTTTTTCAACATAAGAGGCATATAAACAAAACCCACACAGCGCATACACAAGCACACAATCTCAGAGTTAATTAAATAAAGTATTACAAACATACAACATGCACCTACCAGACACTAACACACACACTCCACACACAAACACACATAAAACACACACGCAAACAAACACTACTGCACACAAAAGCAGACAAAATCTTTTGAATTTTCAATTAAAATAAATGGCTACTATTCTTCCTTAACTAGTATGTCGGCATGGCATTTCTCCTTTTGTCAAATTTTTGTACTTTTTATTCAATTTTAAAATCACTGCTACCGGAACGATAGCATCAAAAAGGACACTAGTTTGATCACAGAGAACGCAAGGTTAATGAGATGCCAGAAAGAAAATTGTTCCCAGAAAAAACTATAATGGTTATTTTTCGCACAATTTTTTAAATTGAAATTGCACCAACAGTTTGTAGTTAATCAAAACGTGAGTTGTTTCTATTTTAATTAATTGCAAGGAAAGTTTTATAAAATTGCTATAGTTGATTTCTGAAAAAATTTAATGAAAATTTTTCCAGAATTCATATTCTCGCTAAAGTTGTTGCAATTGTCTATTGGAAATAAAAAATTGATTTTTGAAAAGATCTTTTTATTTTTTATGGCCGTAAATATTGCTGAGTGGTTAATTACGAACGATTTTTTTAATTTTCAACATTAAAAGTACTTTTAATGAGAGACATAATAAAATTTGAAAATACCGAAATAGAACAAAAACTCATTTAATTAATTTAAAAAAATCATTGAATTTATCACCACAGGAAAAGAACATTTTGTTTTAATTGCAAATTAAAATTTCACCCAACACAGATCGGTTCGAAAGCGGGCCAGGAGCCAGCCATCCAATACATGGACTTGTACTGGATCGTCTTCATCGTCGTCCTGTCTGTCATCACGATTTCAACACTGCTCACTGCTGTCGTCATCTTCAAACAGAGGAACAACAAAAAAAAGCAAAGTCAGAGATTCAAGTCACGCATGGAGGCATTAAAAGCTTTAACTACAAAAGAGATAACTAATAGTAACAGCGGCAACAACAACAGCTTCAGTTCGTCCAATATATTGGCTGAAAGTGTGCCTCTGAATGCTAACAACTTATCAAAGAGATCGAGTGAGTGCAAGTTTGAGAGGCAAAGCATGAAGATGATGGATGTTGATAGAGACACGAAAGCCAACGTATTTGTTGCCGAACAGACTCGCGTCAGTTCGAAAATACCGCAGTGCCCCGATAGACCGTACGTTTTCATAAAAAATATTTCACCTTCTTCATGCTTTGAATTCAAGACTGCAACATTCACAACAAAGTTGGACGCGTTGCCAGAGGATAATCAGAATTTCAACAGAATTAACATCCTGAACGCAACAAAAGGTATAACGACTTCACATTACAGCAACAATACAATGCCCCTCTCAAGCTCCATTTCATCAACAAATTTATGCAAAAATAACAACAACGACCCACAATTCAATTCGTTAACCTTTGATCAAAACGGCAGTGACGGAAATAATTACTGTTGCTGTCCGTTAGACGTTGAACTCTGCAATAATGAAATGAGTGCCATCGCCATGAAGAACATTTATTCGAAATCATTAACGCGCAAACTCAACAAATCAACGAAACAGTACAGCACCCAACAGTTCAACTGCAACAACAGTTACGTCAACACGCTGAGCTCTGATGCCAACAGCATTATAGAGGATCCCAAAATTGTTGTCAGCAAAGTGAGAAACGTCGTCGCGAGCAACAAAAACTCGAACAATGATGCACCTAACAACATCGTTAGGGCGGGCAGATCTGAAGACCAATGTACTTTAATGACCAGACATCATCCTCATCAGCAGACGCACAGCCAGCAAAACAGTCTATCAGATAACGATTCCTGCTTGTCAGACACAGTATGTAGGATAATCTTTTGTAGAGATGCATCATTTTTATAATCTGTAAAAATCTTCTGCTCTAGTTCTTGTTAATAATTTATTTCTTTTATTATATCGTTTCAATTCTCACAATGCCGAAAGCCAGCGGGCAATAAATAATGAACGTTGTCCATAATGATCAAATGCAAATTCAAAAATCTCTTTCAAAACATCCAATCAGCTCATTTCTTTTACTTTATCTTTCTTTTTAAATCATTCTTCCATCTCCATCTTCATCGTCACATTATTCTTTATCATTTTTAAAATAAATTTCAACTTCACATCATTCAGTATCATAATTTAAAATAGGTTTCAACGCTCAACATGCCAACGTAACTGCTAATATATTTTGATACAACCAAATTTATTGTCATTGTCACATTTATCTATTCAACATCGTCAATCTGCATCACAATCATCAGCCTCTACAAACAAACAAACAAACAAACAAACAAACAAACAAACAAACAAACAAACAAACAAACAAACAAACAAACAAACAAACAAACAAACAAACAAACAAACAAACAAACAAACAAACAAACAAACAAACAAACAAACAAACAAACAAACAAACAAACAAACAAACAAACAAACAAACAAACAAACAAACAAACAAACAAACAAACAAACAAACAAACAAACAAACAAACAAACAAACAAACAAACAAACAAACAAACAAACAAACAAACATGTGAGTCATGCGCTCCGGTATGTTTATCTTATCTGCCGTCTTTGATGACGTTGAGTATGAAAGCATGCGTCGTCACTTCGGCATTAGTTAGCTAGGTTACGCTGATGACAACAATGATGACATCAGTAGTGAAGTCAATTAGAACATCATTTGTGTCATCAGTAATGACGTCATGATGACATCAATGATTTGAACAAGGTTCATAAAAATATGTTTGAATCGAAAAAAATTGAAAAAATAACCGAAAAAGTAGATTTTTCTGTTTACCAAAAAACCCAAAATGTTTGTAAAATGTGAATGGATAATTATTTTCAATTGCCACAAAATGCTTGGAATGTTTTTGTTAATTATTATTAAATGTCTATTTCAACTAATTTTATTTAGCATTGTAAATGCGAGTTAATCTAAATTCATGAAAAAGTGCTCCAAATGATTTTCCGAAGTTGTTGACTGACAGGCGACAAAAAGTTATCATTATATGTTATAATAACTCAATACTAAAAAATGCTACGTAGCTTAAAACAGGAGTATAGGGAATAAAAATAAAATAGAACATAAAACTGCACATGAATAAACCCATGAAGTAACTAATTTATTAAAAACGAAGCATTAAAAACTAACACACACACACACATACAGACACACCCACGCACAAGCATACAACACACGCACGCACACCACACACTCACACACAAACAACAAACATACAACACACACAAACAAACAACAAACATACAACACACAAACAACACAAACACACAATCTATTTTGAGTTGGGCACACCTAAACTTAGTAACTGTTGAGTGATTATTACACGTAAGAAGCTGGCTGAGCTAACAGCCTGATCAAAAAGCAGCTTGTCATCGCCGGAAGCTCGCCAGCCGCATGTGACCTGTCCCAAACGAGACTTGTCCAATTATTTCGTGTGCGTGCATGCCATTACGATGATGATGATGAGGATAACAGAACCACTGATGACGAATTCGAAATTATTTAGAAACCCTATTTAAAACCCATTCATTAATAATTTCATGTTCTACTAATCAGTGCCAAATAAACCATGTCGAATTTACAATATTTTCAAATAATGAGCCAGGCTAATGGATGTTTTTTGTAACACGGGCAACCGAAACTATAAAAGAAGCAATAACGGTAGCCACAACGTCGCAACGTTATATAAATATTTATCGGGCAACAGGGGGACGGCGTAAATTAGTTTACATGAATGTGCGCAATAAAGCTTTGATGGCTCTTCCGATATTACATCATTTGAAATATGCTCGAGCAATAAACGCATCCGACGTTCCATTATTGAAATTAAAATTTCTGGAAAAAAATTTCAATTTAATGATAGTATTGACATTTGCATATTGTTTTGAAACGTATTTCCTGATTTGTATAGCGATTAACATGTGATGACTCCAGAAAAATTTGTGCCAAAAACCATTTTTCCATATTACAGGAAGTTTAGTTAGAGGAAATAAACCAAATGCCAAACTGTTTTTGACGGAACGCTGTGATGAGATTAAGTTGAAGATTGATATTCTGAAAAAAAAACCTTTTTAGATTCGTTGGCGTCATGAACACCTCATCATAAAGAGAGCTCCTACACTATGCACCGGTCCGTTTATAAGACGTTTGAAATTTAAAAAAGTACAGGCATCAAGTAGAAAGGTATAGTTATTAGGTACGGCCTGGTAAAATTTATTTGTTGCAACAGTAAATACCCGAAAAAAATATACGAATATGTTAGTGGTTCCAAACTTTTGTTTGAAGAGGTCTCTTCAAGGAACAGAGATTGTCCAAGTTATTAAATTGGGATCCCAAGTAACCAGCACAAGAGCTGACAAGTTTTGATTGCAGTCCTCACCTTTCAAGTAGGCTGGTGCTGGAGGTGGGGGAGGAGTATGGGGTCAGCCGCTGATTCCGTTTCAAAATCTTGCAAGAGTTTTTTGCAAAATATTTAATAATTTTGTTAAAATAATTAAATATTATTTTATCTTCACATTTTTAATTGTTTAAAAAATAATAAGCTCAAATAGCTTTAATGCTTTGAAAACGAAACAATTATAAAAATTGAACATAAGAATGCAAAATTTTTTTGAGACAAAAAAAAACAATTAACGCACGTGTTTGAATAAAATGTTTTTTCTCTATCCCCGAGAGAAATATATTTGTAATAATGACTTGAAAAATTTTTCATGTTATACATTTAAAAAAAATGGAGCTGTCCATTCATTCAAGTAATTGATGATAATCAGAAAAAACATCAAAAAATTGCTCATGTACAGCGCACAGTTAATGCTTGTCCCGATAAGTTTTAAAAATTTTCACGATAAAAGGATTTTTTTATTTTTTTGTATGAAACAATTTTTCACTGACAAAACATAAAAAATGAATTATAGCCAACATTAAAACGCGAAAAAATGGCGACAAAAGCAATATGTTTTTGTTAGGAAGTTTTTTTTATTTTTGCGATAACGAAACAAAAAACATTTTCAATGTTTTGCTTTTGTGTTTTGTCATCAGATTTTTATTTTTTCAATGTAATTCTGACAGTATAATATAATTAAGCCACAGATAAAAGTTAAAAAGTTGTTAAACACAACAAAAGAAAAATTGACATTTAATAAGGCTACAAAAACAACATAAGTTCCACTTCTCAAAAACTAATACTTAACTTGTCGAATTTTTGATATTGATCAGATCTGACTGGTTCTATGAATCAGATTATAAATTTACAACTTTTAGAGCAAAATTATTCAACTCATGTTTAGAACACTATCAGAACCCTAACCATCATAACTCCAACGCCTGTACAAACCTTCAACTCCGACCTTCTTCGACAACTTGGCTCAGACGAACCGCTTAAACATTTTCAACACTCCCATAGTTACTATAAAATGTTTCGCCGTACCTTTACATCAAATCACACAACAGAAACGTATGGGTGATAGTTCCACAAAATAAGAATGATTTGACTTTAGCAGAAATAACATTCGGACCAGGTTAGCACAAACGTCGCCAGACTATCTCCGCTAATTAACAAATATATCAAATTTTAACGCAAATGTTATTTAATTTTATGAAAAGCAATTGTTGAAAAAAAATTAGTTTGAAAATTACAAAGATTTATTTTGTTTATTTTAATTAAATAATTTTTGCCTTTTTTTAATGATTTTGCATCGTGGTCGACATAAACAAACAAACTTTTAGCCAGCTCTCAAAATGCATTATTTCCTATTCTCAATGTTGATTTGTTCAAACTTGAAAAACAAGAAAATAACTTTTTTAACTAAAAATAACGCAACTCAACTCAAAAACATTTTGAATTAGAACTTCAAAAATATTAAAAATTAGATCTTCATGCCACTTGACGGTTTTAATCAAAAGTGAAAACGCAAATACTTCAATTTTGATTTTCTTGCATGGGAAAGTCAAAAAAATGAAATATGTTCTTCATTAAACATTCAGTTTTTTTATATAAGCTTCCACAGTCATGCAAAACATTTCTCCAATTTAACGTTTTTTTTATTGGGCAACGCTGGTTAAAAATGGTAACAATGTTAGCATATTAACAGCTCAAAATGACAATCACTTCCAAAATATCGCCTAAAACCAATTATATAGAGTTATATACCCAGGTTTTGAAGCAGAAATAAATTTTGTAACATTGAAAAATTTTCATAAAACAACGCACGTAAGAATTGGATATTAAAATTTGCAGTCACCCAAGTGTAGTTCTATCTATTCATTATATACATGACCTTATTCACCAATCTTCCATAATATATGATCAGATTGCTTATCTAAAGGATTCGATTGGTTATTTGAATTTATCCTAGCAGAGTAATTGTTTCACTTACATGGTTTTTTCAAATAAAAATATCAGAGAATATAGAACATTGTAGGTAGTTTCTTGAGAGTGAAATACAAGAATGTAAAAGTAGCAGCATGAAGATCAACATGTGAGTTACAAATGGGGACGGGTCCGCGTTAATCTTTACATACGACTGCCAGCTAATGAACTTTTCACAGTTCAATGAAACATTTAAAAATGCAAACGTTTGATACTTCTTTTGTAATTAATTCTAACAAAATTTAATTTCATGTGGCCGGCCATAACATCACACAATTTTTTGAAAATTGTTTCGAATGTAAGAAAATGAAAGTAGCGATCGATCAACCCACCAAAGGCAAAACTTTGCAAATCAAACTTTAGACTTTAATTTACTTTTTTTTAGCTTCAAATTAATTACACGCAAAAATAATTTGTATTTATTTTTTATGAATCCATTAAATAGAGGCTAATAAATGAATTTCGTAACGCTTAGTACGATCGTTGGAAGAAGCACGCCAAAGCTTGGCAATTTGCAGCGCGCATATAACAGCAGATTCACTCACTAGCTCTCCATCACAAACATCTGAGAGCTCTCTTTAAAATACGACCGTGCAATGCTGTCTGTTTGCCTGGTGATTAGGACAAAACGCAATGTTGTTTGCTGTCTGCGTTATATTGAAAGTTCCTGTTTATTTTATATACGCACGTGCAGTGTGCGCTAATATCTCAAACGCGTTTGCTGGTATATTCTATGAATTACAATATAATATACCACATGATCCTCTCAGCTCTTTACTGCTTTTTAATTATTTGAAATAAAACAAATTCTAGCGTTGAAATTTGTACAAAAGTTTGATATTCGAATATAAAATGAAAATAATATCAATTTTGAATTAAAACTTGATCAATTTTAATTGTTTACTAATGTAAAATTTTTATAAAAACAGTATATACGCGTATGAGAATCAATAAAGTAGTTAGCTTTTTACTAAAAATTCTGACTTCTTTTTATGTAATCGTACAAATTATTATTTTGGGAGCAGTGAGGTTCACTGAATGTAGATGTTGTAGGTGAGGGTTTCATGACTTATGTGTCATTTGCACGGGCTGAATTTGCGAAATGGAGGAATATGGCGTGGAAAGAAACTGAAAGATGTCATCTCAACATTAGATATTGACCATGAAAACCATCCACGCAAATTCTAATTCCCTGTATTGAAACGAATAAAATATAGAAAATGTTACATTGTTTAAATTTATTTGAAAAAACTCAGGAAAACACAATCAATTTTCACTCAAATTTCAAATTCATTAACTCTTAGTGTTTAACTGTCTTGACAGAAAATAAACATTAACCATTCCTAGCTCGAGTGCTTAGTGGAGTTGTTAAGTTAAGGCGATGACTAAGATGCCTTCATTTGCGGTAAATCTTGTTTTGCATGTTGTAGGAGTCTAATGAGGATCTGCCGAACGTCTTCGTTTTACTGATTTTGTTGCTAATATTAAAAATTATTTTTAAACTGCAATTAGCTACCATAATCAAAGTTAAAATTCATAATTGAAATTATCTTTCTTTAAGTTTACAATTAATTTAAAATTAAATAAATTGTCAAGAGTAATATGTATTAACAATTGCCTCAAACAAAATTTCGCAAAGTTGCATTCAGTTGAGAAATGATTTTAAAAAAAGTATGTTCGCAGGCATAAAAATTTGGTTAGAATAATAAATTTCATATAAAACTTTTAACTTAAATATTGTAAACCAAAAAAGTAATGCAGTGATCAAACAAGGTGTATAATAGTCATTTGTGGTTGAAAATATGACACCACTTGAAGTTATATTTCGTGCCGAAGTATTCAACATTAAAATGAAAATGTATACACAACATGCGGAATAATTTTGAAGTGTTGACAGACGTGCGGCAGCCCAAAAATTTTAAATCAAATAGTGGCAAATAAATAACAAATTTTCAACGCGTTTCAGCATGTGGAAAAAACTTTTTAATTTAATGAATAATTTAGTATCAACGTTTCATGCAATCATAACACGCCATTTATAAAAAAAAAAGATTTTTTTCTCTCATGAAAAGTCACAAATTTGAATAAATATTTTATACATTAAATATTGCAGTTGCATTTGTTCAACCAGCACCAACAGCAGCAAGAACAACCACAGCAGCAGCAACAACAGCAGCTACAACAACCGCAGCCTCGACAAATGATTCACATTTTGCAACACCATCAACATCAACAACTGCCAGAAAAATACTTCCAAAATAATTCCAACCAACACTGTCTGTCAGTTGAACATTCGTCATCTTTTAAAAAAAATGATTCAAATGCGGACATCTCATCAGCTGATCTGGATCTTAACTGTAACTCTCAAACGCAAATACCAGGTAAATACAAATCTATTTTGAAGACAAAGAGTAATTTTAAGATGAAAAATCAAAATATGAACTCTTCCTTCACTGACGCTGGCTCTGATACAATCAATATAAATAACGACCCGGCAAGCCGCAGGAGCGCTCATCTAGGTAACAGTAACGCATTCAACAACGAAGAAAACAGATTCAACAATCAATCAAATTACTCCTCATCAGACAGCAAATCAATGAACGAAATACTTTTCACCCCAAAAATCAACTCGCCAAAAACACTTTCCTCATCACCATCAGCGTGTAACCAACAGGATTATGGAGGCAACACAGCTCATACAAACAAATTCGTCCAATGGTCCGGTCAACGCGCACAACAACTCACACAACACAAGTTTCGGACGCAGCAAATGCAGTTTTTGGATCAACGTAATAATTCGGCAAGACTATTTGCAAATGTTCATTTGTCATCGGAAGGCAATAAGCGGCAGTTAAATGAAGACGATGCTTCTCATCAGAACTACGAGCTACAACAGCACCAGCGACAGACATTTTCATCAGAGGTTTTCAAACAAGAGAATGAAAAACGCTGCAACAATCACATGCAGTCATTTTTTCAAATTCCAAATTCTTCTCTTGTGACTCCTTCATCACCACATGACTCATTTGTATCGGCAGCTGCTGCATCATCTCCATCATCGCTCTCCACAGCAAAAACATTGACGCCGTTGACAACGTCACAAAACTTGGCTCTGTCGAGGTCTTCGCACACACACACAGACATCTGCAACCAAACAGTGAACATCATAAAATTAGAAAGGCTTGAACATCTCGTTTAAGCATTTAAAATTAATATCATTTTCTCTACGAAACATTAAAAATTCACTCAAAACACAAAACGTACATCTCCTTAAATATTCGTGTTCATTTTCAGAAACCTCTCAGAAACCTCTCAGAAACCAGAAAAGTAGCCACTCTGCACGCAAAAACGAAAGCGCAGTCAAATGAAACGACTCTGCAAGTCACATACCTACATAGTCTGAATTACTTTGCGGCAAATAATATTACATCGGATCAAGAAGAAACATTTGTTCTGCTATCTTACGGAGAACACAAACAAGAAATAATGTTAGAGTGTTGATGATTTCAATGCTATTGTAATGTTGACCGGTTAGTTGTGCCTTATTAACGTTGAACCAATGCTCTGAATGATGAAATAACATCGTGAAAATCCTGATTAGTAAATAAACATGTAAAACGTCATTTATTATCATTCGACATTCAAAAACCCAACTTTAATGTTCAATTCAACAATTTTAAATGTTTTCCAAGCTTATTTTTTCAGCAATTATTTTATTTGTTGATGAAAAATAAATTTTGATTTTTATATTCAATCATGTTTAATTATTAACTATTTTTTTAAATATCATGATTACCATTACAGATATATATTTGTGACAAGATAAAAATTTCACAACTTGTTGTTACAGTAGCAAAATTTAGAGCAAAATTCCATAACGTACATCTTGGTCCTTTCATTACTAGTAACTGAAACTTGAAGATTTTGGGGAAAAAATTTTAATTTGGTTGGATGATCAAACTGGATTTTTTTTCTTCTGCGTATGCATGTAATTAAAATAGAATGAATTGATGTTGATTCGTAGAGCGAACGAGATTTATATCTCCGATGTCATTTAACAAAATGTTGTTCTCACCGAGTAGATATACTATGAGACTGATTTAATTTTTGTCATAATTGCTTGTTATATTTTCGTATTTTTCAATTCGTTACGATGTGTTTACAATTTAAATATTGAAATTCTACGTTCACCAAGTTAGCTTGTTAAATAAAAATTATTCGAAATTGTCTTGAATGTGTGCTAAGAAAGTCGTTTATGAATGAAAAAATTAAAATAATAAAGCCAGCTTTTATTATTATTGAAATAAATTAATTGTAATGTAACAATAATGAAAACTTCAAAATATTCACTAAAGTCCAAAAAAAGTCAGCTTATTTTAATGAGTTAGGATGTTGCCCACACTTGGAACAATCAACAGATCCCTGTAACTATATACGATTCGGAAAACCACTGCCCCCAAAATTAGCTTATTATTATGATTGTCAATTAGTTTTTTAGAAAATATAAGAAATAATTTTGTGAAAATTCATTAATTTCTGGTTTGTTTAGTTTAGAGCTCTGTGCACTCAGAAGAACAAATTTTGAAAAATGGGTTTGGTTTAACGATGGTATTTGCTTTGTATTTGATGGTGTTTCAAATAGTTGAGGTGTGCAAACATGTAAAATTAGCTTTTTAGCTTTTCGAAATTGTTAATAGAAATTTAAATTTTAGCTACGTCGTTAATCATTGCTGCTAATAACATTAAAACATGCCAAAATTATTATTATTAAAGTCTTTGACATCTTATCTGAATGTAATTCTATATCAAACTTATGTATTTTTGATATTTATATAACATATTTAAACAACACATCTATGCGTACATGTGTTCATTTTTTTTAATTTTATAAAGAATTTAAATAGAATTTATTTCTGAACTTATTTTCAACGTACATTGTTTATGATCAATATTTTTAAATTTCGTAAAGAGAAATTCTGATGAAATTTTTTTTAGTTAGCCACTGAAACAAAATTAAAATGTTAATGTGGGCGTGAAATTGACAAACGAGTGAAGACTCCATAAATTTAGATAGTGAATTTTTTTTGAAGAAAAAAAACTTCCCGCTCAAATTGGCTCGCAAGAATAAATAGTTGATTGCTTTCCGACAAAACAGTTCGTGTAATTTATTTTGATTCTCTCTTCTTAATTTATCGTTGCTTATTCGCACGCACCGCATCGCACCATTTCTCTGATTAGTTAAAAAAGATAACTCACTGCCCTTCATGTCGTTATTATAATTTTCACTCTAATATTCAATCACTGCCCTTCATCTTGTTATTATAATTTTCACTCTAATATTGTGCTGTATCTATTTTAGATGAATTCAAACCAAAAATCATTCAAAAGTGAATTTGAGTTCATCATATTACATGCATACGAATGAGTATTATTTTAGTTTTAAAATATTTGAAAAACTAGATACCAGATAATATTTTTAGAATAACAAATTGAAAATTCATTTTAATAGAAAGTCTTCATAAACTTGTGACTCCATGCTCCATTTGACGAAGCAACGCACATGCCACCGCGAAACGATGCAGCACAAGATTGATGTGAATGAGATGAATGTTTAAATAGTGGTCTGCACTTCAAACAAGTTAGCCCAGCGTTGCTTATGTGACGAACTGAACAGAATATGACATCTATGATTAAATGACGGTTGAACAATATTTTTTAAACGAGTAACTTTTTTTTATTACATTCAGTTACTTCATCAGCACAATATGCCTACAACTATAAAATTTATAGTTGTTGACATATTGTATTTACTCATATATTCTACAAAATACACAAACAATTTTTTGTTTCGAAATCAAATCTTCACGCTTGCACTTACCATTCATAGCTGGCTGATGATCACTGATGTGCGGCATTAACTTGACTTATATCCGCCCATCATGGCTAATGTACACAAAAATGATGAAAGATTCTCAATGCAATGTACTTTCAAATTTTTAAACGCCTTGTCAATATGTCACACTTTGTACATTTAATTGACATTTTTGAGTGTTTAAAATGTGTGAGAAGTTAAAATTTTATCATAGTCGTATAATCCTCAACGCATAGAACGAAGTCTTTTGAAGCGCACAGAAAATAATATTTTGAGATTAAAATGGCCAATAATGGTTAAACGTTCAAAAAATGCTTCCCCTATAAAATCTATCTTTATGAACAACACGAAGGTATTACAAATTATCTCCAAGTGAACAACATTAAAATTTTTTGATGAGCCTCGTGAATAATTTATTTGTTTTCTGATGTTTGACATTTTTGTTTATCTGTTGTGTGCAGTGTTGGGCTGAAGTTGTTCTGTAACTAAAATATGTTATAAACAGTTAGAAATGCTCTATAACTTTAAAAATTTAAAACATTTGTTAGCTAGTGTTATTCAATAAAACAAATTTCCATAAAAACTGCTTTCAGAACTGAGTCTTACAAAATTATATGCATCATCAGCAGCTTTTGGGTGCTTCCACGTCGAACTTCGTTCAAATTATTTCAATTTTTCTAAAACATTTTAAACAGCTTTTTTATATGAAAAATTAATAAAAAATTGAAAATTTTGAAATGAGAAAAACTAAGGTTGGTCACTTCTGTTGTAAAATAATAAATTTTGTGTTAACTTACCCTATGATAATAATTATATATATTATAATATTGTGAATATAAATATGTGAATAGATGTATGTGTAGACATTTATGTGAATAGAAATGATAATATTGCGATGCAAATGAAGTAAAAACTTGTAAAATTTAGAGTTTCATGCAAAAAAAAACTTGAAAAATGTGTTCACTTCAAACCAGATCAGTTACGATAAATGTCAAAGATTGTACTATTTACAAATATACTAGCGTGTTTGTTTCAACTTTTAAAAAATGATCTGGCATCTTCATGATTATTTCACTCATCTGCATTTGCATACATAAACATCATGACTTTTAATTGTTGTTTGAATCGAATTAATTCAGTTGGTCTGTTTACCAAACTAGGAATAAGTTTTTTTTATAAGTTACAAATTAGAAAAACCCATTTATATTTTTTAGTAAAGTAACAGATTGTAAAAATGCAAACACTTACGAATGATTAACGATGGCAAGTAATGAAATATTGATACTGCACTAATCTATAGCAGTTCAATTAACGTGTCGACAAGTTATTTTAAAAAAATAAAGTTCAAAGAAAAAATACCAAACAAGATTCAAAGTAGAAGCTTAATTTTTGTGTTCACTCATGCATTATTTTGTAGAGATCTAACAGGATTCTTCTTTCAGACGAACACGTTTTTTAGATTTTAAGAATTTTTCTTCCGTAGGCTACTATCGGGCAACATGGTAAGCAATTTTGAGGTCTTTTTTCGTGCCAAAATGATTAAAATTAATAAATAGTCAAAATTCGGTAACAATTAACCATTGGTAAAATATATTGACACTAATTATTTATTTTTTATTTATTTTTTTGTTAAATTCTCAATTATATAATTTAAAATTGCAAAAAAAAACCTGTGATTTTTTGTCTTATTCATAACACCATACTGAATCGCAACAACGACACAACCGCAGCAACCACAACAACCACATCAACAAAACCAACAAGCCACGTCTTCGTATTTCTGTTATTTTGTCAGCCGCTTAGATATCCTATCAGATGGACAACATCAATCAAACTATCTGCCTCTCTCACAACAGCAAACTTCCATGAACGCCAACATCTTTTAAGGCTAATATAAATTCAATAAAACTATTCCAACTTGTATATGCCATCAAAGTCATGAAACGTTGCTCACATCATTACTTTAAATTACCATAATCCTAAACACACCACCACATTCCAGTTGATCACCACCATTACACCATCACCATGATCATCACTACCATCATCACTCTAACGTCAACATCATTATCAGCACACTCCCACCAGGATGTGGCTGATGATCCTTCCTTTCATCACATCCTCTCAAATGGAAACCGTCAAGTTGTTCTTTCAAAGGAAATTATTTGTTGCGTTGGATCTTCTTTGCAATTTTCATTAACAAACATTTTTCCCAACTTGAAAATAAGTTTAAGGAAATAATAAAAGACGCACTGCTTGAGATATTTGATTTTTCGATAAGCTGTTTTTACAAATTTTATAAAAACGGGAAAAATGAATGTTTATATGATTAATTAAGTAGAGTACAATTGGAGAACAGATCAAGACAAGATGACAACAACACAAAACCATCAGTTACAAAAACGCCGTTTGACTCACGACCACAAAACCAATTATAAAATGCTTTGGAATAATAAAATATGTACAGGTCTCACAAATCTTCGATCCAACATTTATTTGAGCAGGCTTTTTAAAAACTTTGGTCAACATAAAAAATGTAGACAATTTTGTATAAAAAATAAAATTGTACTTTAAATAAATATAAATTAATATGTACAGAGAGAAAGAGCAAATAGTTCATATACACTATCACTCTGAAGGTGGCCTGATATAATAATTGTGCAGAAGTGGGTGTTATTAGTTTGGCTTGATGCGGTTGTTAATAGTTTGGCTTGTTCCATTTGTTCGACCGATGTAAGTCTTTAAAGAAGAGCTCATCAATCTCATTGCACAAATCTTCAGCGTCGATGACACTGTTGGTCGCCGGTTGTTTGTTGTTTTTGACTAGCATTTTGTTGTATGAGGCTGGCGAGGTCCTCGGCACATCGTCAGCGTCACGACAGGACTCGTCGCATCCCATGTCCACGTCGTCCACACCCAGGTTGCTCTTTAATATTTTTCGCTGACTTTCTGATGAGTCGCACATGAAATGATTGTTGCTGTCACTGTACAATAAGTTGTTGTTGTTATTATTGCTGATGTTATTGTTGAAGTTGTTGTTAATGTTAAAGTTGTTGTTGTTAAAGTTGCTGTTGGTGTTGTTAAAGTGGTTGTTGTTGTTAAAATTGTTGTTGTTAATGTTGTTATCAATGTTGATGTTCTGATGTTGTAAATCGTGGTAAACGGAACACGTCGGCAGATAACTGTTGGGGTTGATCATTGAATCTGCTTCCAGATTTGCAGGGTAAACATGACACCTAGCAAATGAAATGTTTTCAATGAGATTGTTGCATGAATATATGTTTAATAATAATCAAAGTTTTGAAACATTAAATCAAAACACTTCACTTCCAATAAATTGTTCGAATATTTTAAAATGAATCGCATTGCTAGATGAACAAGTTTCTTAACTTAATTTCTTAAAGTTAATTTGCAAATTTTTCATAATATTTTATAAATCTATTACATGAAAAATTTCATCTGCTATTTTGAGAGTTAATAAATTTTCAAATATAATGATTATTTAATTTATAAATTTTAAACGTATTTCAAATTTTTTAACCAAGAAAAAGAACCACAGTTTTCAATATGTTTGCGTTACATTTACCATTAACTGCCTATTGTAAGTTCACAATTGCTTATATTTTTCCATTAGTTTTTTCCTTAATCTGTCCATTTACAAAATTATTTCTATGTCGAAACATTAATTAAGCACGTCACTTCAAACATTAAAAAAAGTTTGGTGACATAATTTGGTTAGTTCGATAAAAAAAATAAGATAGTTTCAGTTGCTAACCCGTTGGCCGAGTTGTAGTTGTACTGGTTGGAGAGTAGCAGATCAGGTCCATAATCTCTCTGGAAGGTCGACATCTTCGGAAGGTTCGACTGTGTTGAGTAACTGTGCTGGCTGATGCTTTCCTGGGTCTGGATGTTTGGGTTGTTGCTGGCATTAAGCTTCTTACTGTTGTTGATAAGATGTTGTGCGTTACAGTTGGAGTCGTTGATCAGCTGTCGTTTTGAGCTTTTTGATGAATCTAGAATTGGACATTCAATTAATGGCATGAACATTTATTTGCTATTTATTTCTATATTTGTTTTGAATGAAATGTAAATATGTAAAAAAAATTTATTCAATTCATTTAAGTTCGATAGTTTGTCTTAAACGCCAATCTAATGATGAACCGATTTTAAGCACCAACCCACTAAATTTGATTTCAGACCAAACTCGCCTTCTTCGCTGGGTCCGTGACCACTGTCTGTGTTCGATCCATTCCCTGATTTCAAACTCTCTGCATCATCTTTGTTACGATTTGGACGCTGCTTTGTCTGGGCGAAAACATTGTTCAGTGATAGTCAAATATATTCGAGGTTGATCGTTTAAATATTAATGCTAACTGTTAAATTTTAATTTAAAAATTTATATGTGAATTATTTTTAACAACGTTCATCAAAGTAAATTTTCGATACAGTCAAAAATGTCATATTATTTTTATTTTTTACGCCTATATATTTAAGTTGATCAGGGCTTATAACAGAAGAATAATCATAACAATGAAAAATACAGCTATAAATTTTTTAAAATATAGTCAGCCACTTACCTGAGGACTCTTGCAAGTTTTTGATGAATGCTGTTTAACGGGGAAGGTGCTGTAAGCATTAGTTGATGGAGAGAACAGTGGACAAGCCTGGTATACATTGGAGGTCTGAAACGTTTTAAAATGTATTGTGATCAAATCGTTCAAGCGTTTGACATTTGAAAATTATCCAGATTACTTATTTGGCCTTATTTTAAACATGACTTGAAAATTTATTAAAAAGTTTGTAAAGTAACTGACATTTGACAAATTATCCCGATTGTTTTGCTGTTGTAAGTGTTTCAAAGCATCTTCCATCACAAAATTATACTTCCTTATTTCCTGATCGCTGCTGGTAGCTGGTTCAGGACTCTTAGATGTTTGCGCTTGTTGAAGTTTAATAGTTTCTAATCTGCAGTTGTATTTATTTGTAGTTTTCTGTCTGTCCTGTTTACATAAAATGACGATAGCAATTATCAGCGCGGTTACTATGACGCCAGATACCGAAGCAATCAGCATTATGATGGTTAAGTTGGTGTTTGCTGTCGGCTCTGAATACAAATTCTTCCATACAAAGGGTATCGATTTGTTGACGAGGATGTAAAGTTTTGAAAAAACCATTCTCGGTGGTACACCGCCATCTTGTGCCGTAATTTCCAGCACATATGTGGAACCATCTTTATCTTTGATGTCTTCCAAGAGCGTTAGTGTTCCAATTTCCTGCTCTAAAACAAAAGCGTTACTATTGTACGAATCATTTTTCAACACATACATCACTTTTCCATTTTTGCCAGTATCAAGATCTCTTGCTCTAACTCTGCCGATCACGTGTTCTCGGGGAGTTAGGCTTGAAATTTGGAAAGTGTTGTTAGTGGCGGACGGAAAATCGAATACAGGACTGTTGTCGTTTTCATCTGAAACGTGAATGGTAACGCTGGCTGAACTAGAAAGAGGCGGAACTCCTCTGTCACTTGCATATACAATTACATGATACGCTGAGACTTCCTCTCTGTCAAGTACTTTTAACGTAGTGATTCTACCTGACTTGTGGTCAATTTCGAAAATGTCAGACGTTAAATAATATGTTACATCGCCAAAGTGCCCACTGTCTAAATCCTGAGCAGCCACCGTTCCAACTTCTGTACCGACATCCTGGTTTTCTGCAACCGCGAATGAATAACTCGTATACGTGAAAATAGGATATTCGTCATTTAAATCTTGTAAAAAAATAGTTACACCAGCTGAACTAGAACGTGGAGGTGAGCCATTATCTTTGGCAACAACCCAAAATTTTACCGGATCTCTAAATTTTTCTTTGTCTAATGATATGACTGCTTTTAACACGCCTGTATTTTTATCTACTGAAAAAAAATTAGACATAGTCGGAGGTTCGACGAAGTAATTTATTCTTCCATTGTCGTTACTGTCGGCGTCAGTTGCATTGACTGTTAATATTGTAACGCCGACGACATTGTTTTCGTAAATTTCTCCTTTATAAGAATCTCTCAAAAACACTGGATCGTTGTCATTTTCATCGAGTATCTTAACGTTCAGAGATTTGAGGGTTGTTTGTGGCTCATCGCCAAGATCGATACAGTGCACTAACACTTTATAGAATGATTTTGTTTCTCGGTCTAATTTGCCATTTACTAATATCTGATAATCATTTTCAAACGTCAAATTCATTGAAAAAACGTCTTCATTTAGAAAACATTGAAAATTTCCATTCCGTTCAGAATCTTTATCATTGACCGATACTTGTGCCACGAATGTGCCTAATTTGCTGTTTTCCATCACTTCAGCCAAATCTTGCACATTTGATAATGTAGTTATTGCGATCTCTGGAGCATTGTCGTTAACATCAGTGACCGTTATAATGACTGGAACGGAGACGGCGACCGCACCGATACCTTTGTCTCTCGCGATTACTGATAGGTTGTATGTAGATTGTGTCTCATAATCTATGTCGTTTTTCACGATGATGTCTCCGCTGATTTCGTTGACACCAAAGAAGTGTCCGTATTGATTGGCGCTCAATATGGAAAGCGAGTAATCGATTTGTCCGTTGAAACCAGAATCTCCATCGTGAGCTTTCACCTTCCCAATGATTGTGTTGACGTGGATGTTTTCTTCGATTTGTATGTAGTAAGCTTTTTTCTCAAACACTGGTATGTTGTCGTTGACATCAGAAACGATTATCTCAATGTTTAATGATCCGCTTTTGACGGGAGTACCGCCATCTTCAGCTATTAACGTTAGTTGGTATTTATCTTTTGACTCGCGATCTAAGCCAGCGTTCAAAACTAGTTTAGGTTCGACGTACTTGCCATTAATTTTCATTGAATCGTCTAATGAAAATTCGTTGTAATCTGATATTAATCTGTAGTTTTTAACAGAAAAAGCCAAACTGTCCTTGTCCCTGGCCACGGGTAATTCAAACGTCGACCCAACCGTCGATGCTTCAGAAATTTCTAAAACAACATCAGTTTCTGCAAAGTATGGAGCGTTGTCGTTTATATCGATGATTATTATTTTAACTGGTATAATAAAGAAAATATCCTTGGCGCTAAAAGCTACCCTTAGTTTAATTTCACACTGGTCGTTGAGGTTCGATTGACAAACGTCCAGAGATTCTCGATCGATGACCTTCGTTGTGGTCATTATGCCCGTTGCCTGCTCGATGGCGACGATGTCTGACGTGCCGAGTATCCTGAAAGACAACGAAGACGAGTTGTATTCGAACGATTTGGCATGCCGGTAAACATCACCGACGAACGAACCGGCGTCAGTTTCTTCTTGGATCCAAAATTTTATTTCGTTCGTTTGGCAGAAACATGGAATAATTATATTCAGCGCTAGAACCAAATTGAACGGTAGATGGCGTGTGTATTTTTGCTTTTGAGTTTTCATTATGTAACGTAAGTCGATTCAGCGAATTTCATTTGTGGGACGAATAATTTCAAATCTGAAAAAATTAAGTTTAAATTTTTTATTAATACATTTTCAACTATCGTTGTATACTTGAAAAGTTTAAAAACAGAATAGAATTTTTAAAAAAAATTGATCAATATTTATAATTTGCGATTCATCATTGTCAAAGTTAAGATAATAATTTTCTCCTAGTTATAACAAACGACAGGATGAAAGAAAAATTCATTCATTCATTCGGTCATTCATTCAGTTATGGTAATTGTTTCTTATTAAGTCGTAATTAATACCGTATTGATAGTTGTATAAAATCTTAGAACTTTTTTAAAGCGTGAAGTTGATGTCAGTTAACTGGGAAATGACAACTTAAAGAATTACGTTAACGTCCGCTTATCCGTTTGCAAATCAAAATTACTTACAAAATAAAATATTAATAAATCTTTTCAGAAATGTAAATCTTTAACTTCAAGAATAATAAGCAAGAAATATTCGTAATTTTATAAAGTCAAAGTGACAATTCATATTTCATATTCAAAAGAATGATTTAATGTTCATAAATAGTTAATAACCTATACGAATTGCGTTGAAAATTTTGATAGACTCACTTCAATCTGCAAAATTAGCCATTCATTTTTGTTCATTTAATTATTTTATTACAATATGTATATAATAAGCTACTTAATTTTACAGATATTTATCTTGGATTGGACGTACAATAATATTATTTATTTGCTTTAAATATTTAACTTTCAAATTGAATTAAATTTAATTTAAAGCAATCACTGGTCATAAATAATTAAAATAAATAAATAATAGTTCAGTTAAAATTACAAAAGTCGCAATTGCGAACTGCTACGTTAAGCTACTGTAATCCACAAATTTCAAAATAAAATCCTTACATCGAGCCTGTAGTTAATAAATAATACTATCGTGAAATGTTTGAAAAGCCAAAGTGAGACTTATCCAGTGGTAAACATAACAACGAAGTAACAACGGCGAAACATCTGCTCTGCAAATAACTTTCATGCCTGCCTGCCTGTCTGTCTGTACTGTATGCCAGCATTTATATATGCAAAGCTCTTTCATACAATGTATTCATGTAAGAACACAATACATTTATATAAGGACCTACAACATACATTTTGTACTGGAACACACAATATACATACGTAAGAACATATAACACATTTATATATGAACATGAACATATATCTCATTTATATACAAACATACAACATAAACCACACATGAATATACATTACTGAACATATATTATTAATTTATACATCTATATATACGGTAATTTATGAAATCTAGTGTTCAATAGTTTTTTGTTATACTTCCCAATATTTCTAAACAAATTCTTTTCGTCATTATTTATTATATTAAAATTAAAATAATTACAGTTTTCAAATTTATTCTCGATTTTTACAATCAATATTTATTAGCACTTGTGGCGGTTTATATAAAGAATATATATGGCTAATGCCATATCTAGGTGCTAAAGATGATTGCAAAATCAAAATAGGTCCGATGCATTCGAGAATTAATGAAAAACTGTTTATTATTCTCAATTTAATATAATAAATAATGACGATTTGGTTATTTTTGGTTAGAAATATTGAGAAATTTTACAAAAAGCTATCCAACCCTATAAATTCAGTAGATTTCATAAATTGCTATGCACGTATACTTTTATATACACTATAATATTATACATTTATATAGTTTCAAACAACACACAAACAACTAAAACGTATCATATCTACAATTCATTCATACACAACACATATAAACACATTGATTACATTACCTATAATATGCATGCACAGGTTTTCGTATTTCAATATAGGAACAAATGTTTCAATAGTAATAATAGGTCTATGTTTATCTCATTTCTGTATACTACAAACACACATACATACGTGCATACACACAAACATACACATATTTTAACGTTGCTGTATGTGTTTGCGGATGTGTATGCACGTGCGTTTGTCTTACTGGTTGTATGTCCAGCGGAAATTGTACTATGAAAATAAAATGAATACCTGGAAATCTAAATAAAATATATAAATCATCGGATTGATTACATAAAACTTTAATTGAAAAAGTCACGAAATGAGCAAACAACAAAAACAACCTGTTCACACGTGCTATGACTCTTTGATCGTTACGCGATCAGACATGTTAAGAGTTATGTTGTCGTTGTTGTTGTTGTTGTTGCTGTTGCTGTTGTTGTTGTTACGGCTGTCATTGTTGCTAAGATGTTGCTGTTGCTATGTTGTTGTTGTTGTTGATGTTTCTATGGTGTTGTCGTTGCTGTTTCTATACTGTTGTTGGGCTTGATATGATACGAAACGTTTATAACAGCGAAAGTCGTTTTCTCATGTACCCGTAACTTTTCCTGTAGTATTAATCATCACGAGTTTAACATATGACTGTCAAATCAATCCTCTAAGATACAATCGTTGATCAACCAATCAATCCTCCAGCAAAGATGTACGTCTCACGTGAGGCTGACGCAAGCAAAACAATTAATACGACAGTATTTTGTGAACATGATGCTGAAAATTATCATTAGCATTGATGCCTGGTCGGCTTATTTACTTTATATACGGAAAAACCTGACGTGTTTCAAGTTAAAACACATTTAAAATAAATAAATGAACAAATATAAATATGTGTTTGTATATATACAAATGTATGTGTGTGTGTTTTGTGTTTGTTTGTGTGTGTTTTGTGTTTGTTTGTGTGTATGTATGTATGTATGTGTGTGTGTGTGTGGTGTGTGTGTGTGTGTGTGTGTGTGTGTGTGTGTGTGTGTGTGTGTGTGTGTGTGTGTGTGTGTGTGTGTGTGTGTGAGTCAATCCGAAAAAATATTCTATCATACAAAAAATGTACCATCAATTATTGATCTAACTAACTATCTATCCATCTATTTCTCTATCCATCAATTTTTCATTTATTGATCCATCCATTCATCCATCTTGTCAATCTCTTTTTCTATCTATCCATCCATCCATCCATCCATCTTCTCAATCTCTCTCTTTCCATCAATCCATCCATCCATCCATCCATTCATCCATCTTCTCAATCTCTCTCTCTCTTTTTCTCTCACTATATAAATACTTATATAATTAACAATTATTTATACACACAAACACATACATATCTATTTATGCGTAATTGTATATATACATATATATCTATATATTATGTGTGTGTACATATCTCTTACATACATATCTGTATAGATTTATACGTAATTGTATATTTAGATGAATATATATATATATATATATATACATATAGTTATATATAATGTGTGTGTATCGTGTGTATCGTCACATCGCGCATGTAACAATATTCATCTCATACGTAATTGCCGGCTTATCCTATACATTTATGCTGTCTCCCATAATGAATGTCATCTGCCAATCATTCTACTAACTCCGCCCCCGCTCATTGTTTGACGCACAAGATGGAGAATCCATTGTTTGCTTGCAACCATTTTTAAACCATTAGGAAAACATAAACCTGACGTCATCATTAGTATCATCATCATTATCATTATCATCATAATCATTATCAACATCGTCATCATCGCCATTGTTGTCAACTAACAAGCTGAGACGTAATTACTGTTTGACAGCATCAACGTCTCAATAATAACATCAACTCGGTCATTTGTCATCTATAGCATCAACATTATTACACTAACAACACTAACCACATCAATAACATCCAAACCATCAGTAACGATAGACTATAACGGCAAAATTGATATTGAAACCACCAGGTAACATTATTTTCATTTAAAACACTAACATAATCAATAACATTAACGCCAACAATAACATTAACGCCAACAATAACATTAATGCCAACAATAACATTATATAATGACACGGCTACATGCAGTGACTGGCTGTAAACTCAAATAATCAATAACACTAACTCTCATTCAATTGATTTCATATACGTCATCTCTGTAAGCCTATACTCAGTGTATGACTTCCTATATACACACACATCACAACAATACATCAGCGTGTTCATTAAATGAAATTAGCATCTGAACATTCATCAATCATAATTTACACTTAATTACATTTGTGTCTAATTACTTAATTCCGTGATTTAATAAAAAAAATATACTGACCGGCTTAGATCAAAAGATATAATAAGATTCATATAAATGCAGAAATTTTATAAGGTCACACAACAACAATTATTGTTATAAGCTAGGCATAAATAAATATTTCACAGAATCCACCCATTAAAAGACGATAAAAATTTTTTTTGATGTATATCTCTGTTCGTCAAAATAACTCTACATCCTTTTATTTTCTAACTCCAAATACCAAATATTAATAATGAAATAATTATAAAATCCTATTTAATAATATTAATAATAATAACATTAATAAAGTACTAATAATAAGAAGAAGAAGAAAAAATAAAATTAAAAGGTAGATGCGTAA